ACCTATATTGTCTTGTTAGAAGACTGTTTTTGGATTTATAGCAGATCTTCACAGCTTTCATAGGCGCCTAGAGCATATTGTTTACTGTGCTATGTCTTGTCATGCTTTTCTCTAGCTTAATCGTCACCCGTTCTATGTACAGGTGTCAGTGATGACGGATTACGAATAACGTGAACCCTTAAATCTCTGGGATCAAGTAAAGGGTATGCCGTTTAGACCAGTGGATTTATAGTTAATTAAAGTTAAATTGGCGGTAAATAGCCCGCCAATATCACGTATAAGTACGGAAAACGACATGCGCAGAATTTTTCGGATTTAGACCATCCAAGTCGTGAAGGATGCTTTTTCTCCTGATGAGCATCGTTTTGTCAAATCGTACATCTGAGAGAGTACGGTATATCTACCTTCTTCAGGGATTAGTACGGGCTGTGACTTCAGTTATTCCCTGTGGGTTTTGTAGCACAATGTGCTTTTACTGGTTAGATTATCCTCAAAGGCATGAGAACTAACCTGATTAGCTAACCGACTAACCCCTATTATTACTGTCTCATTGGCCCAATTGCTTTAAGTGGCTCATAACAGGCCATCGTAACGCTCACTAATATGGACTCTCCTGCGGTCCGCCCGGTCAGGAGATCCTCAAGTTTGGTATTTGCGGCTCTCTCCACGGTGGAGCCAGTGAGGAAGCGATGAGGCAAGGTAGGACAGTATATTTCAAAGTGCAAATGGTGATGAGGTAATGTATGCAGATGATTTCGAGCTTAGTTGTGCTTAATTTGATAAGCTGCACTGTCTACTACTTTGTCCGTAATAAGACGTGTCTCAACATTTACCGTTCCAGATCATCGTGGCAAAGTGATCGGACGGCGGAAGAAAGGCGCCACTTGTCGAGTACGGCTGAATATGCGGAACTACTCGCAATTATAGTTGACGAATTTGTAATTGAGGCACATAAGCCACGTCGTGCGACATACGCTTCGTTCTGATTGAAGAATATTGCTTTCTTTGCCGCCAGCTAGCTCGTTGTCCTGCAAAGTCGTGACTGTATGTACGAGATGTTTTTGGTCACCACGTCTTGTCGCCACTGCGCGTCATTCATAATGAACGCATGAAGGACCACGACGCATTTCTTACTTCGTTCTAGGCCTTGCAAAACTCAAGCAATTATCTTTCGCCATTGAAACTATGTCGCACGTAGTTCTTTGAACGAGTTCGATTGTTGTTCATAAGCGTTGCTGGCCTATTGCGCTGCCATGGGTTCACAAATCATCACGCCAGCCCTTTCAGTTTTCAGCTAGGTTCTAAAAGAGGTTGATTGAAGGAAGTAGGCCGATGACAATGAGGAGTCAGGCAGTGCCAGACGGAAGAATTGCGCAACGGGTAAAACAGATCAGCCGGCATCTTTCGGTTTTGTTCATATGTAAAATGTTTGAAATTCAACATTTATGACAGCATGCGAAACTGGCCAATGTGTGAACGATTTTCGTGTTGTTCTGGCAGCCGACGTCAGTTTCTTCAGTCGGGCCCGGGTGTCACGGCTACTGTGCGATTGTCCTGCCCTGCCCTGCCCTGTACCAACGCTTATCCGGCATAGGAATGAGGTCCCACCTGGCTCCGCGAAATCGCTGCATTCACACTTGTCGGTTTAACCCGTG